TTTTTTTAAGATTTTATTTATTTATTTGACAGATAGTACAAGTTTGCAGAGCAGAAGGCAGAGGGAGAGGGAGAAGCAGACTCCCTGCTGAGCAGGGAGCCCGATTCGGGGCTCGATCCCAGGACCCTGAGGTCATGACCCGAGCCGAAGGCAGAGGCTTAACCAACTGAGCCACCCAGGCGACCCTCTCATGACGTTTTTTAATTTATCTCAGTTACAGATTTTTTTCTTATTGTGGCAAAATACAACAATTTCTTTTTTTTAACCTTTTTTTTTCTTCAAAATTTATCAATTTAACCATTTTTAACTGTACAGTTTCAGTGGCCTTAGGTATATTCACAGTGTTGTGAAACTATCACCACTGTCCATTTTAAGGACTGTTTTTTGTTTTTTAAGATTTTATTTATTTATTTGAAAAAGCATGAACAGGGGCAGAGGGAAAAGCAGCCTCCCTGCTGAGCAAGGAACCAGATGTAGAATTCAATCCCAGGACCCCTGGGATCCCGACCTGAGCCGAAGGCAGGCGCTTGACTGAGCCACACCCAGGCACCACCAAGAACTTTTTCTTCATCCCAGAGATTCTGTTCCCATTAAATAATAGTTCCTCATAGTCCTGTCTCCACTTGTAGTCCCAGGTAGCCACTAATCTACTTTCTATCTTTGTTAATTTGCCTATTCTAGGTACCTCATGTTAGTGGAAATACTTGTCCTTCTGCGTGTGACTTACCTCACTTTGCATGATATTTTCAAGATTCATCCATGTTTTATTGGATTTTGAGGCAGAACGGCTAGATCAGTAAAGAACGAGCAAGGAAAGTTTGATCAGCATTTTCAAGGCATCTCTTGGGAAAGATTACTTACCTTAGACATTCAAATATCTATTTCTGGTTTCTCCCAACTTCTAGTGTATCTGTGTATTTTGCTGGAGTATAATATGGGGGGGGGGTGTCTTTGAGCAGTGTTCAACTGTTTGTATAACCATCTGAGAAGCCGGGATGATAATGGGGTCCCAGACTCCATTCACTCTAGGTTATCGAAGTTTTGTTCCTTTGTTACATATTTTCAGTGCTTATGAATTTGCCTCAAAACTTGGAACTCTGGGGACGCCTGGGTGGCTCAGTTGGTTGAGCAGCTGCCTTCGGCTCAGGTCATGATCCTAGTGTCCTGGGATCGAGTCCCACATCGGGCTCCTTGCTTGGCGGGGAGCCTGCTTCTCTGTCTGCCTCTGCCTGCCATTCTGTCGGCCTGTGCTCGCTCGCTCTCTCTCCCTCTCTGACAAATAAATAAAATCTAAAAAAAACAAAAACAAAAACAAAAACAAAAACAAACAAAAAAAAACTTGGAACTCTGTGCCATATTAATTTGCATTTGTGTATCTTGCTTTGTACTTTTCTGCAGTATTTTTTGCATCTAGGTGTATGATCAGTTGAGTAACAGACTTTTCTCACCTGCAGCTTCCCATGGGATTCTCAGTGGTCCTCTCAATATGAGATGTTTTGTTTTGTTTTGTTTTTTTAAAGATTTTATTATTTATTTGAGAAGGAGGGAGGGAGAGGGAAAAGCAGACTCTCTGCTGAGCAGAGAACCTGATTGGGACTCGATCCCAGGATCCTGGGATCATGACCTGAGCCAAAGGCAGAGGCTTTAACCCACTGTTTGACCCAGGTGCCCTTCAGTATGAGGTGTTGGTCACCTTCCCTGGAACACTGGGGAGTTACTGGGGAGTTGAGGTTTAACTTTTGATGTTCTGTAGCATTCAGCATTCTAGTTTCCACTTTGTGGGCATTTTTCAGAAGTCAGCCACTTCAGAAATAACATATATCAAAATTACCAGATCCTTAGGGGGACCTGTAGCTAAAGACTCTGTGTTCTGTCGTCTGTCTCCTGTCCGAAGCTGTTGAAATGAAACGAGGATGCAGAGAAGTTGGAAGCTCATGTGCTGCTGGTGGTGACATAAGATGGCCCGGCCTCTTTGGAAAGCAGCCAGGGCTGAACGAAGAGCTGCCGTGCAGCCAGCAGTTCCCTCCGGGGCCTTTACCCAAGAGAACTGAAAACCTGTTCACGTAAAAACGTGTGCACAGAAATTCATAACAGCATTGTTCATAACAGCAAAACGTAGGGGAAAAAACAAATGTCCATCAGTTGATAAATGGATAAACAAAATACACGAACTCAAATGGAATATTATTTGGACATGAAAAGACAGACGCACTGACACAGGCTGCAGACAGGAATGATGCCCATTGACAGAAGCTAGTCACAAAAGAACCACATATGATTCCAGTTATGTGAAAAGTCCAGGGGTGCCTGGGTGACTCAGTCAGTTAAGCATCCGTTTCTCGATTCCCGCTGAGGTCAGGATTTCTCAGGGTCATGAGATCAAGCCCTATGTCTCGCTGTGCGCTGGGCATGGAATCTGCTTAACGATTCTCACCCTGCCCCTCCCCCATCTTGTGCACACTTGCTCTCTGTCTCTCTCTCTCCCCCGCTTTCTCAAAAAAGAAAAAAAAAGGAAAAAGAATAAAAGTCCAAATTAACAAACGTAGAGTCAGAAAGTAAATTGGTTGAGGACAGAGATGGGGGCAGAGGGACTGCTAACGGGTATGGTTTTTTTAGGGGGTAGATGATAAAAATGTTCTAGTATTGATTGTGGTGATGGTTACACAGCTCTGTGAATATAGTAAAAACCACTGAAATGTGCACTTTATTTTTTTTAACATTTATTTATTTGAGAGAGCGCCCATACATGAGACGTATCCTGTATCAGATTTCCTGCTGAGCGTGGAGCCAGACACGGGGCTCCTTTCAGGACCCTGATATCAGACCTGAGCCAAAATCAAAAGCCAGCCACTTAATCAGCAGAGGCACCCAACATCCCAAATTGTGCGCTTTCAATAGGTAGATTCAGGGCACCTGGATGGCTCCGTTGGTTAAGCAACTGCCTTTTGCTGAGCGCGTGATCCTGGAGGCCTCGGATCCCGGAGCCCCGAGTCAGGCTCCCTGCTCAGTGGGAGCCCTGCTTCTCCCTCTGCCTCTCCCTCTGCTCCTCCCTACCACCTCCCCACTTGTGCTCACTCTCTCTCAAATAAATAGATAAAATCTTTTTTAAAAAAAGATAATTTTTTAAAATGACTAACATAACATAATAAAAGAAAGAAAAGAAGTAACATTACCCAAAAATTCAGAGATCTGGCTTCTGACTTCTTTTTCTGATCTCCAAAATGTCTGTTTCCTTTTGTTGGTTGTTTTTGGTTTTGTATTTTGGTCATACTCAGGAAAGGATTAAATAGCTGTTATTTTACTCCTCACTACAAGAAGGAAGCTGCCACAAGCATAAACATATTTTTCTTTGCAAGAGCACAGTTAGCATTGTTGGTCTTCTCTGTCTTGCTACTGGAGTCTGTGAATTATTGGGTCTGAGCTTATGTTTTAGGTCTAGAAGTCATAACCCTAGGGTATAGAAATTAAATTCTGCTGAGCATCTTCTAAGTACCCACTTTTAAAGATAAAATTGAGATTTAGGGAGGTAAAGTAACTTATAAGACCTTATAAAAGTAATTAGCAGTTTGAACCTGTGTTTCCATGACTCAAAAAACTTTCTTTCCAGTGCCTCATTGCTATTTCCTACCAGGAAAACAGCCCTGGATTTAAAAGTATGGAAAAGATTCTGCGTTTAGATTTTGCTAGCATAAAAAAAAGTGAGAAGGAAAATGATAATTTTCTTCCTTTAATAATTTCGTTGCATAAGTAGAGAAAGTATTATCTCTTCTCAGCCTAAACACCTGAGTCTTTCATAAAAGCCAAGTATCTTTTTTTTTTCTAAGTAGGCTCTGTGCCCAGTGGGCTTGAACTCACAACCCCAAGATCAAGAGTCTCCTGCTCCAACAAATGAGCCAGCCAGGCACCCCTAAAGCCATGTGTCTTAAGATACTGAATCTGTATCTGCATAGACTTGCTGCATCCAGCAACCGTGGCTTCCCGTGAAGTGCTCTTTGTTCACCTCGGCTTCTCGTCCTTCATAAGATAGGCCAGCTAAAGTACGCCTGGGTGACTGGACGAACTTCTCCGTTCATAAGAGTCTTTTCCAGGAAAAGGATTTGGTTTGATAGTTAAAACCAGCATATCTAGGACACCTGGGAGGCCCACTCGATTAAGCGTTTGCCTTTGGCTCAGGTCATGATCCCAGGGTCCTGGGATGGAGTCACACATCGGGCTCCCTGCTCAACGGCGAATCGCTTCTCCCTCTCCCTATGCCCCTCCCCGTGCTTGTGCTTGCTCACTCTCTGAAAAATAAATAAAATCTTAAAAAAAAAAAAAAAAAACAGTGCATCTGACTTTGAGCATACAGGCACAAAAAGCCTGTCACAAAAGAATGTTTATTCTGAGAGAGGTAGGGTTTTAATGGACCATCCAGTTGAGTGTAGTGGTGATATAGTAAGGACTTTGATGACTAGAAAGTAGTTGAGGTTTACTTCTCACTGCCGAAGTTGAGTGGAGAAATCTCCTTTAGTTATAGGTGTTCTGGGAAGATAGAAAGTAGAAGGTTAGTTCAGTGACCGTTGAACTTCCATGTATCTGATTCTTTTTTTTTTTTTTTTTCAGACTGGTTTTTTGTTTTTTAAGATTTTCTTTATTTGAGAAAGACATAGTGACAGAGATAGGGAGAGAGAGCACAAGCAGAGAGGAGAGGGAGAAACAGGCTCCCACTGAGCAGGGAGCCTGATGTGGGGCTCGATCCCAGGACCCCGGGATCATGACCTGAGCCGAAGGCAGTCGCCCAACCAACTGAGCCACCCAAGCTCCCCTCTTTTTTTTTAAGTAAGCTCTGCACTTCATGTGGGGCTTGAGCTCACAGCCCTGAGATCAAGAGTCGCATGCTCCGCCAGCCGAGCCGGCCAGGTGCCCCGTGATTCTTCTGAGTACCCCTGCCACCCGCCCTCATTCCTTCCAGACTGCCGAAGAGGCTGTGTTCTCATCTCACGCGTGTTTTCCTTCCGTAGGATGGACAGAATGACAGAAGATGCCCTTCGCCTCAACCTGCTGAAGCGGAGCTTGGACCCGGCGGACGAGAGAGACGACGTCCTGGCTAAGCGGCTCAAAATGGAGGGGCACGAGGCCATGGAGCGCCTGAAGATGCTGGCGCTGCTGAAGCGGAAGGACCTGGCGAACCTGGAGGTGCCGCACGAGTTGCCCACCAAGCAGGATGGCGGTGGCGTCAAGGGCTACGAAGAGAAGCTCAATGGGAACCTCAGGCCTCACGGAGACGGCAGGGCGGCCGGAAGGCCCGGCAAAGAGAACATCAGCGACGAGCCGGTGGATATGAGCGCGAGGCGGAGGTACGGCGCCTTCCCGCCGCCTGCGGGGGCAGCTCGCCGGGGCTGCGCCGCGGGCCGGGTGCCTGCCGGTGGGAGGAGCTGCTTCTTGGAAGAAGCCAGGCGTGCGCCGTTTGGCCCGACCGGGGACCGCTCTCGTTCCCGGTGGAGCTCGGTGCCTCCTGTCTGCTTGGCGCGGGGGAGTCCGCGGGCCGTCCCTCGGGCGGAAGCTCATTTCAGGATGAACGAGGCCCCGTGGGGCCGGCGGGGAGGTGACGCGGGCTCCGCTCCCATCGCAGGGCCGTTCTAGAGGGCAGCAGGCATCCCTTCGGGTCACCCTGACGGTTTTCCAGTGTGCCGTGGCGGAGTCCCCGCGTCCGTTACATCCGAAAGCAGGGGCCCGGCTCCTGTTGTGCGAACACGGGGTGGTCTTCGCGCGCTCTCTGCCTTCTTGCTTTGCTTGCGCCGCTCTCGTCAGCCTCCACGGACGCGCGTTCGCCTGTCGTGCACATACACGTGTGTGCTCTCCCGTACACGCTTTCACAGGACTTTTCTGGAGTCTGCAAGGCTGAGTACTTGAAACAGTGGCGCTCGTACACAGACGAGGTACCGGCTGAAGGGACAACTTCTGGGACAGGGAGTCACAGTGTAGACAACCTTAGCTTTGAGAACGTTGCTTATTAATAGTCCACATGTAGCTGATAGGGCTTGAGAACGATTCTGTAGTGTCCACTTCCCTTCAGCTGAATTTGTCTTACGACTGAAGAAGAACGAAAGGAACAGTCAGAGCCTTTTTTTTTCTTTTTAAGATTTTATTTATTTTTTTAACAGAGAGTGATCACAAGCAGGCAGAGAGATAGGCAGAGAGGGGGAAGCAGGGTCCCTGCTGAGCAGAGAGCCCGATGCGGGGCTCAATCCCAGGACCCTGGGATCATGACCTGAGCTGAAGGCAGAGGCTTAATCCACTGAGCCACCAGGCGCCCCCAGTTAGAGCCTTACCTGGGATTCTTTCTCTAGCTTTTAACGTTTACTTACTGTTAATGTCCCAAGTTTTCTGTGTTTGTTTGTTTTTTGTTTTTGATTTTGTTTTAAGATTTTATTAGAGAGCACAAGCAGGGTGAGGGGCAGAAGGAGAAGCAGACTCCCTGCTGAGCAAAGAGCTTGATCCAGGGCTCCATCCCAGGACCCTGAGATCATGACCTGAGCCGAAGGCAGCTGCTTCACCAACTGAGCCACCCAGGTGCCCCACACACAATTATTTTTTTAAAACACACCCAATGAGGGGCGCCTGGGTGGCTCAGTGGGTTAAAGCCTCTGCCTTCGGCTCGGGTCATAATCTCAGGTTCCTGGGATCGAGCCCCGCATCGGGCTCTCTGCTCAGCAGGGACCCTGCTTCCCCCCCTCTCTGCCTGCCTCTCTGCCTACTGTGATCTCTCTCTCTGTGTCAAATAAATAAAATCTTTGGGGAAAAAAAAAAAAACCACCCAATGATGGAACATTATTCTTGGTAATAGCATTTAAAATCCTTAGGAAACTTTAAATAAATTCCCTGTTGGTCATAAATAAGAAAAGTCCTTCGGTAGCTTGGAAGCTATATGTAGTATCAGCAGAATATGATGAAAATAGATTAATCCTGAGATCCTTGGGAAAAAAAGAAAGCTGATGAATGTGATCGGGCCCCTGAGCAGCCCACGTGCCCATAACCACCCTCGCCGTCTGGAGCAGGTACTGACCCTACTTGACGAGGGAGGAGAAAGAGGACAGATGTTGGACGGATTCCTCAGATCCCAAGTTGGCCCTGAAAATGCATTTTTCACAGAAACATTGTTACACATTTTGATGAGATCTCAGTACTAGTATTATTGGTATCATATTAAATAAATTTTTAAAATTCTGCTTTGAAAAGTCAGACTGCCCTGAGAACCCTACTATTGCATTTAATTTTATTTTAGAGGAATGAACTTTTGGAACTTGATCCTTTGGAAACTGGGAACTGTTTTTAATGGTCTCCAGGAAAATAGGGTTGATGTAAACTATGTAGATCCCTATTCTGCATGGGAAGGTAGGCCCCACTGGCCCCTGCCACTCTTCTCCCCTTTCACAGACCCACTGACAGTTATTTCCACTTAGCCCCAAGCTTTTTATAAGAATAAATTGTTCAGCAGGGAGAATAACAGTGTCTTTGATCTGGATGAAAGAAGACAATTTAAAAGCAGAGTGAAGAGCCCTGACATCCATAATAGCCTCATCATAATTGCCTAAATTTTTTTTTTTCCATCAGTTGGGGAGGTTACAACGTATATGAAATAAGGTGTGTGTGAAACCAGTGCTTGCTTATATTTTGGAATGCTAGAGAAACATGGCAGTTTTCGTTGTATTTAGTTGTTTTTACAACTGGAATAAGGATTAGAAGTTACAAAGCTTTGGGGACACCTGGGTGGCTCAGTGGGTTAAGCCTCTGCCTTCAGCTAAGGTCATGATCTCGGGGTCCTGGAATCTGGCCCCCACATTGGGCTCTCTGCCCAGCAGGGAGCCTGCTTCCCCGCCTCTCTCTCTCTGTCTGCCTCTCTGCCTACTTGTGATCTCTGTCAAATAAATAAATAAAATCTTTTAAAAAATAACCAATCAAGTAAAAAAAAAAAAAAAAAAAAAAACCTCTAAAATACAAAACAAAACTGTCTATTAAGAAAAAAAAAAGTTGTTACATAGCTCCTAAGGGAATCTGGCAGTCCGGGTCATAAGTGAGGTCAGCAACAAAACAGACTTTTTGTGATCTCTCTCTGACAGGTAAAGATTCGTACTTAAGAACACCAAATAATGTAAATCATATATATATTTGGGGAAGTAGCAAAGTATTTTCTTTCCGCGGAAAGCTTAATTAATGAGACCAGAATCTGAAGTCAGATGTAAAAAAAAAAAAAAATTGAAGAATGAACCAAAACTTGACTTGGGTATTGCCTTGCCTGTGCTATTATCTATTGTGGGTCTGATTTATATCCAGGAATAAAATATCATTTATTTTATTAGGGTTTATTAGGGTTGTTCTCAGATCCAGCTTCTTGATAAATGCTACTCATTCACAGTCTCCATCCAGGAGTGTCTCTGCCTGTCTTGTTGCTGGACATTCCGTCAGCAGTGGGTGGCATTCGTTTGAGAAAGGAGTTCTTAGAGATGCTCTTGATGTGTGTATCCAGCCAGGACCAGAATGGAGGTAGCTTCAGACTGTTGATGTAAATAAACATTGGGAAGTCATGTAGAATTGGAAATCCACCAGAGCTCAAAATTAGTCACCTGTGTTAGTGTTAGGGATGGAAGGCAGGGATGAAGGAACACAGAAATGAAAAATGAAGTCACCAGAAAATAAAATCAAACACCGTAAGGCCTGACCATTATTCCAGCCACTTGGGGTCAGAGAAAGACAGGCTCTTCTCTAGTGCCTTCTTTTTCTGTAACCTCATATCCTCGGCTTGCCGTCTGTGACCAGCGGTTATAGAGCAGTCCAGACAGATGTAATAGTTCCCAGCACACGCGTACACGTCACTCTGTCCCTCTGTTTTCTCAGCTAAATTTGGTTGCTTTCACTGTTTTACCCTGTTGAGAAACTGGATGCTTACTCCGTGTAGCCAGGGTGCCCTGTTCAGAAGGCATCTACGGCCCAGCGGCTGGGAGAACAGACCCAGAGAAATGGGAGAAAGGCTCTCAGCACTAAAGATCTGTGGGTTTACGGGTTCGAGTTTCATGTTTAAGTAACAGCTGCACGTTACTTTAGATCCGTGTGTTCCTAGCTACACTGAAGGTCTTGAGGAAGAAGGTTCTGGGAGGGTATCTTTGAGAAGTCAGAGAGTTAGAAGATGTGGTCATTGATTTGGGGGCCTGAGGCAATTAGAATCTTCAGAATTCAGTGCAATTTTTTGGTTGGTTGGTTGGTTGGTTTTTTAAATCAGAAAAGCAAGTAGGATGCTTTTACAGCTAGCCCCAAAAGACCAAAACTACAATTGTCTAATAAATAAGATTGGGAATACGGGGACCCAGTGTGGGGAATTTAGATTTCAGAGTCATTTCTAGAGAGTTTCTTGCTGAGGGAAGATGCTAAGTAGAACTCTGGCAAGTAGGTGCAAGTCCCGTATGTCTAGTTTCGGGGTTTCAGTCCCTCCAGCAGGCTGTAGACTTGGCCCTGTCTGTTCCCTCCAGCAGCTGATAGCAGCATCTTCTTTTGCCTTAACTCGAGACAGAACAGACTGTCCCTAGGTTGTCATAGAACCTCCTCTTCCGTAAGCCCGCAGGTGGCCGGGACCATGTTGTTGTGGGCGTAATGAGCTTAGGGTCCTCGTTAGCAGTGCAGCGTCTGTCCCGGAGCTCAGCTGCCTTTGCCCTTCTCCCTGCACACTGTTTCCTTCCTGAGCCTCTGCATAACTAGTAAGACAACCCAAAGGAGAGTGAGGTGTAGGGGAAACATTGAGAATTTTTATTCAGATCAGTGTGATAAGAACACTCCTCTCTTGTCCCCATTTCTGAAGCCAGTGGCTGTGTGTGTGTCGTCCCCACACAGGGAATTCAGACGGAAAATCCCGAGGCTGAGGCTTCACCACCACTACTGTCTTGGTATTTTCTTCGTCCTAGGACTTGAGTACCCTAGGTGAATTGGGACAGACTTAAGTTCCCTTGAATCTCTTTGTTGAGTGTAGAAAAAAATTTTGACTTTTCTGTGAACTTTCACTGTTGGAATACGTGGATTTTTCTTCTTCTTGTCTAGTGAACCAGACCGAGGAAGGCTGACCCCCTCCCCAGACGTCATTGTCTTATCGGATAATGAGGCTTCCAGCCCCCGCTCCAGCTCCCGAATGGAAGAAAGACTCAAAGCAGCCAACCTAGAGATGTTTAAGGTAAAAAGAGAGAAAAGAGAAAAAACAATTTCTTTCTTCATTTTTTGCTCCTCCTATGTAAGAGTCCCAATTCTGTGTTTTTATGGGTTACTTTTTTAATCTAAATAATTACCCACTGATGAAATTTTTTTTCCCATTGATGAAACTTTTCATAAGTGATTCTCAACCTCAAGGGCATGCCCTTTAATTATTTAATTTTTAAAATTTTTTTAAGGTGCACCTGGGTGGCTCAGCGGGTTGAAGCCTCTGCCTTCAGCTCAGGTCATGATCCCAGGGTCCTGGGATCGAGCCCCACATCGGGCTCTCTGCTCCTCGGGGAGCCTGCTTCCTCCTCTCTCTCTGCCTGCCTCTCTGCCTGCTTGTGATTCTGTCTGTCTAATAAATAAATAAAATCTTAAATAAATAAATAAATAAATAAAAATTTTTTTTAAGATTTTATTTTATGTTTTTTAAAGATTTATGTATTTTTACTTGAGAGAAGACAAGCTGGGGAAGAAGCAGAGGGAAAGGGAGACTCTCACAGAGACTCCCCACTGGGTGAGCCCATTGTGGGGCTCAGTCCCATGACCTGAGCTGAAATCAAGAGTTGGACACTCAAGCAACCGAGCCCCCCAGATGCCCTGAAAGAATTTTTTTTTTTTTTTTTTAATTTTATTTATGTGGCAGAGGGAGAGAGCACAAGCAGGGGAAGAGGGAGAGGGAGAAGCAGGCTCCTCCTTGCCGAGCAGAGAGCCCGATGCGGGGCTCGATCCCAGAACCCCGGAATCATGACCTGAGCCAAAGGCAGAGGCTTTAATCCACTGAGCCACCCAGGCGCCCTTGAAGATACTATTTTTAAGTAACCTCTACACCCAACATGGGACTCTAACCTACAACCCCAAGATCAAGAGTCATGCGCTCCACCTACTTACTGAGCTAGCCACGTGCCCCAAGGGCATGCCCTTTTACAGGGAATTATTAGAACCAAGTGAAGAATACAGTTTGACAAAAGCATATTCAGTATAACTTACCTTTGGAAAATATGAAAACAAAACTTCATTTGTCACATAAACTCTAGGCTAGAACCACCCTATCCTGGTTCTCATAATATGAAGGGATTCCTAAGTTTTTATGTATATCTAGAAGAAACTTGGCTCTAAAAGATCCAGAAACATTATTTTAAAGGAAAGCAGTGTCTCCCTGTGGCCATTCTTCTGTTTTGCCAGAAATCTGGTTGATTGCAATTTATATGTGGTCTCTTCTTTGATTCTGTAAGCACTTTTTGAGCACCTGCTGAATACCAAGCCCTGTGCTGGGCTCCGGGACAGAAAGACCCCAGTCCTGGTGCTGCTTCTGCTTGGTCGGGAGATGATTCCAGCCCAGGAGGAAGCCTCATCTTGCAGGAAGGGACTCTGGGCGCCTGTTCCCCTCACTCACCGCCTCCTGTCTCCTCAGGGGAAAGGCATGGAGGAACGGCAGCAGCTCATCAAGCAGCTGAGAGATGAGCTGCGGTTGGAGGAAGCTCGGCTGGTGCTGTTAAAGAAACTGAGGCAGAGCCAGCTACAGAAAGAGAACGTGGTGCAGAAGGTATTATGCCCTAGAAATGCATGTCTGGGTTTGAGAATGGACTTCCCAGGTAGGTTCCATTGGGTGGCCCGTTCTTCTCTGGTCCCATGGGTTTTCGTTTCTAAGAATAGTGGTGGTTTCTGTTTTTGTTTCATCTTAAGCTTTTTTTTTTTTTAAGATTTTATTTATTTATTTGACAGAGAGAGAGGTCACAAGTAGGCAGAGAGAGAGGGAAGCAGGCTCCCTGCTGAGCCGAGAGCCCAATGCAGGGCTCAATCCCAGGACCCTGAGACCATGACCTGAGCCGAAAGCAGAGGCTTAACACACTGAGCCACCCAGGCGCCCATCTTTATCTTAGGCTTTAATCAAGAAAACCTTGATTCCATTTTTCTCATTTTTCCTTCTGGTCAACAGAGGCTTCACCCTAACAAGGAATTTTAAAAGTCTGGGAGTGTGCCAGACTTGTACTCCGTCTCTGGTCTTTTCTCCCCCTCAGACCCCAGTCGTGCAGAATGCAGCGTCCATTGTTCAGCCATCTCCTGCCCACGGGGGACAGCAGGGCCTGTCCAAGCTTCCCTCCCGGCCTGGGGCCCAAGGGGTTGAACCGCAGAGTCTGAGAACATTACAGGTATGTGACCCACCTTGGGGTCTTGGTGTCGGAGAGCCCTTTGTCTCCCATCTCTCGTTTGGGACTTTGGTGACGATTATAGAAGAACCTGGCTGGGGTAGGGGTGCTGTCACCCACGGTCCTGGGTCCCCCAGGATCCCCCTTGCTGTGTGGTGCTAGGCTGCATAGTAGGGTGAGTAATCCCTACCTTCCGTCTGGACATTTCTAGCTCTGCCCCTTTCCATCTAGCTTATACCAAGAGAAACCAAGGAATTCCTGCCGCTGATCAGGATTTACACTGATGATATATTTATTCAGTAGATCATTAGACAAAGTTACCAAGTCTGCATTTCCACTCAGCTGTGCGTTACAGTGTTACCTCATTAGCATTTTGGTGGGGTGTTTTACCAGCTATGACTACTTCTTTTCCTCTTTCCCCTTCAGGGCCACAGTGTCATCCGTTCGGCGGCCAATACCACCCTCCCACATATGTTGATGTCTCAACGTGTTATCGCACCAAACCCTGCCCAGCTACAGGGCCAGCGGGGCCCACCCAAGCCTGGCCTTGTGCGTACCACAACACCCAGCATGAACCCTGCCATCAACTACCAGCCGGTAAGAGAGCCCTGGTGTAGAGGCAGGGAAGTCTTTTATCACTTTCCCTGTTGAGAGGACCATAGGGTTGAAGGTTTGGACGTAGAGAAGATGTAGGACAACCCAGGGCGGGTCTGGTAGAGTTTGGACTGACAGCAGTCCTGATGAGCGTGCTGGCGCAGGGGCGCCCCTGAGGACAGGAGTGGGCAACGGGGGTGGCGCAGTGAGTAGCAGCGAGTCCGCCTGCCTGGAAGGAAGCAGGGGCCTGGGGAAGAAGAGGCCCAAGGACAGAGGACAGAGAGCATCCCCCTGTTTTCCTCTCAGCTGTTGTCCTAGCCGCTACCATTCTCCTTTGCTGGAGATCTTTTTCATTGAGGTTGGACACTTCCTGTCTTTTCCTGAGCTTGGGGCAAGCTTGGCAGTGCAGACGGGGCTCAGATAGTGTTTTCAGCCATGAAAGCAAGACTCGGTCCTTGCCCCACATCCCGTCACTGACCGCTGTGCTCCCTGCATTCCAGCAGTCGAGTTCTTCTGTTCCCTGCCAGCGCACAGCGTCCTCCGCCATCTATATGAACCTTGCCTCCCACATCCAGCCAGGGACCGTGAACAGAGTGTCCTCACCACTTCCCAGCCCCGGCGCCATGACTGACGCCGCCAACTCCCAGGCCGCAGCCAAGCTGGCCCTCCGTAAACAGCTGGAGAAGACCCTCCTGGAGATCCCGCCCCCGAAGCCTCCCGCTCCCCTGCTCCACTTCCTGCCCAGTGCGGCCAACAGCGAGTTCATCTACATGGTGGGCTTGGAAGAAGTCGTACAGAGCGTCATCGACAGCCAAGGTGAGCTGCCAGGCCTGACGGACGTGGGCCGAGGCTCGCGGGGAACTCTGTGCCTCCGAGCGACCTCTCCTCACTCTTGCCACAGCCCTCTCCGTTGTTCGGAGGCTGTTCAGGAACAACACAGCAGAAATGCTTTTCATGTGTCTGCATAGCTGAGGCTTCATAGTTTTACTGTATTTTGCGTATTTTTTGCGGTTCATTGTTTAGTGTTCAGTGGCGCCTGGCACCATGGGTGCATTCTCGATGACTAGAGCCCGTACATGTCTGTGTGCGGCTGGCATTGTGCTGCGTTGTCATGCGCCGTCCCTGCCGCTTGAGGACTTAGAGTTGAGAAAGTAGGACTTCTGGAGGACGTGAGCAGTCCTAGTAGTGGCTGGACCGGGATGTATTAACACTAACAAGTTACTACGCCTGAATTTCCAAACTCGTGGACTTAGGGGGAACACGTGATGGTAGGGGCGATGGCCCGAGGGACTCAGTCCTGACTCGCAGCAGATCACGAAGGGAGCGATTCAGACATTGATCGCTAAAGATTGTGAACTTCTGGGCCAGGGCTGAGTGCAGTCTGACGTAAAAAGAAGCTGTGGAGCAGGAGTGTTGGCGGAGTCAGACGCAGTCCGGTGGAGCGCACCAGGTTTCCGTCTCGCCGGACGAGGAAGTCAGGGTGCGAGGAAGTCGGGCCGGCTTGGCCGTGAGCGGCCACACTTGGACTTGGCCTCCTTGTCTCTAAACAGGGTGCCGTGCTCCGAATTCCCTGGGGTGGTATTGTTACAGTCAAATAAAATAAAACTATTTTCTAAATTGTAGAGTCTCCTTACTTCAGCAGAATAACCTTCTAAAAAATTGGTTTGATGAGGAATCGGGGTGGGAAGCACAAGTGCCTCATTGTTCTTCTTGTTGGCGTCTAGGCAAGAGCTGCGCTTCACTCCTGCGGGTCGAACCCTTTGTCTGCGCCCAGTGCCGCACAGACTTCACCCCGCACTGGAAGCAGGAGAAGAACGGGAAGATCCTGTGTGAGCAGTGCATGACCTCCAACCAGAAGAAGGCTCTGAAGGCTGAGCACACCAACCGGCTGAAAAATGCGTTTGTTAAAGCCCTACAGCAGGAACAGGTGAGACCGCAGGCTTGGCAGCCCCTGCTCCGGTGGGGCTTTCCCAAGAGGTAGTTCATTCTGGTTTAGCGGGGTTGTCTGTGTGACCCCCCCAGTCCCTGGTGACCTGGACTCTGGCAGGTCAAGGCCCGGGTTCCCTGTTTCTCCCTTACTGTCTGTCTTCCCCTTTCCACTTGATTGTCTCTGGGTGGGCAGGAGTGTGACAACCGTGTGGTCCACTGTGGGGAGGGACAGGCGGCTGAGACGTCGGTTTCCCTCCCTAGTGGTGCCGAAGAAGTCCCTCCATTCACGCAACCTTATTTCCCCCTCAAAGGAATGGGTTTTGGTGGGACTCGTGTTGGCCGCTCTAGGCAGGAGGTAGAGCAGGGGAGCGGGAGGCTTCGAGGGCAGGATCTCCAGGAGGGTCTTCTCCAGCTGTTGGTGGAGAGCCAGCTTGGCTGCGGCCAGGGGTTCTCCTGAACCTCTTGGAGAGACAGAATCTCTACAGTCTGTGGTTGGCAAGGGAATGACAGTGGAGAGAGCGGACTGTGACGCGGCCCAGGGAAGAGGAGCGGTGCCGAGTGAGTGGACGTGCCCCTGTGGCGTTTCCGGAGTCCCGAATATCTAGGGGAGAGGAGGATGTGTTGGGAGGCTCGGATCCTTCTCCTCTATCCCATCTCCATCCCACCATTCATCAGACCTCTTTGGGTAGCATCATAGATCTTCTGGAAAACGGGTAGACAAGAGTCAAAACTAAAACCTCCATAAACTCGTCGTGGTTCATCGGTTGAGTCTGCTGGTTGCCACCGCCCAGACCTCTCCTGCCCACTCCTGAGCACCAGCTTTCCCAGACGGCTCCCCTCATCAGCGAAGCCGTGTTGGCTGCTTGTGGCCAGAGACCTTGGTGCACCTCCCCCACAACTCTTGACCTGTTCCATCTCCCTCCTGCTCGCTGGCAGCATTAGAGATCAGAAGACTTCTAGGTTTTGTGGGTAGGACACGGAGGGCTGTTCTGCCACGCTGACCTGATGACTCCCAACAGGAAATTGAACAGCGACTCCAGCAGCAGGCAGCCCTCTCCCCCACGGCGGCTCCCGCCGTGTCCAGTGTCAGCAAACAAGACACCATCATGAGACATCATACGCTTCGGCAGGTGAGGGTCTCTGGGAGGGCTTTTCAGCCGCTGACCCCATCTTGTCTTTCTTCGGTGGGAAGCCCTTCTGCTCTTCTGTACCCCACATCCTTCCCTCCCCCCTCACCCTTTCCGTGGCGGCCACGTTGTCACCCCCCGTCCGCTGTCCGTTGCAGGCCCCACAGCCCCAGAGCAGCCTGCAGCGTGGAATCCCCACCTCTGCCCGGTCCATGCTCTCCAACTTTGCACAGGCGCCCCAGCTCTCTGTGCCGGGCGGCCTCCTCGGGATGCCAGGTAAGAAGGGCTGGGCTGGCTAGGCCGCAGCTCCCTGGGAACAGTCTTTCCTGTTTCCGCTCTCTCTCGAGGCCCGCCTCACTCTTCGTTATGGCAAGTGTTGGCTAAATTCCTAACACATTCAAGGCACAGCACACTGGGGTTTGGTAGTGAAGACGCCACAGTACCTGCCGTTATCGGTTCGCTGTCTGGCGCACCCTGTTGGTGGGCGTGCGGCTGCTGATCTCTTGGCGAGAAGAGCGGGGTGCTCTCTGGATGGCGGGGGGTGCTTCCTCACAGTTGGCGCCCCCAAACAGAGCAGATGCCATGAGTGTGTCTCTCCGCCTTGGTTAATCCCGCCTCACCAGTTTCCTCTGACTCTCCCATCCTGTCAAGGCTGTGCTGCTTGTAGTCCTGGTGGGACTGAAGTGGCAAGGAGACTTCATTCCCTGGAGCTGGCGCGCAGGGGGCAGTTGGCTGCTGACCTAAAACTTGCCCAAGTCTGGACGGGGCAGACGGCTTCCGCTGCTTCCTCCCCAGCCCCAGCTCTGTGCCCCAGAAGGTGCTGCCTCCTCTTCTAATGCCCACCCCCCCCACTTCTGTCTTCTGGGTCCAGGTGTCAACATCGCATACTTGAACACCGGCATTGGAGGACACAAAGCTCCCAGTTTGGCGGACCGACAGCGGGAGTACCTTTTAGACATGATCCCTCCCCGGTCTATAGCGCAGTCCATCAGCGGGCAGAAATAACGCCTGCCCACGCGTACTGCCCCAGCCTCGAACCCTCTGCCCCTCCTCTCCCATTGCCCCCAACTTCCGTCGCATGCAGTGCCTGTACCGGTGCCTACCATACACGGAAAACAAACCGAGAAACAGAAGACAAACCTAGAAATCGACAGGAAGACCCGCGCCTGCCCCGCCACCCCCACTGCTGCGACCCTGCTGCTCTCGTCTTCTCTCCTGTCCCCATTCACAGGGAGGTGCTCCTCGCCTTTGGTGGAGGTCAGAGTGAGGGCCTGGGGAGCCATCTAAACCCTCTGACGTGTGTTTCTAAAGTTTTTATGCTATAATTATTGTCATTTTTAATGATGGTGTGTCTCCTCCCTTTGTTCAGTGGACGGTTAAACCTTTTTATTTTCCCTCAGTATTTTTCTTTCTCTCTTTACTTTTGCCTTTTTTTTTTTTTAAACACAGATGACATTCAGATAAGTGACAGGAGCATTGCAGGGGGTTCCCCAAGGGGACATGACTGGGAGTGTTGGGGGCAGAAATTTTTAATGCACTTAACCTGGGGTTGTGGGGGGGGGGGACATCAAACAGAGGACATCAGCCTTGGGTGTCTCTGGTCTGGACAGTCTGGGAAGCAGTGTTCGTGCTGAAGTCGGGCTCTAAGATTGAGGGGAAAGAGCCTGGAGGGAGAAGCTTTACCCACAGAGAAGGGGACGAGGGACAACTAGTGTTCAGCCAAGAGGGATGGAGGCTGGTCTTGGCCTCCTGGATGCTCTCCTGGTCCCAGTGGAGATGGAAGTCTGTTCCAGGTCAACTGGCCCAAAATTATTTCATCTTATTTTCTTTGTAAAATTCTGCTGTCCCCCATACCACGTTTTTACTCCTAATCTGCTCCTGGCAAGAGGGAAGCGCGGCCCCGGCTCTTATGTGGCTGTTCCAGCCCAACTTAGCCGGGGTCCTAGAAGTTGGGCTGGGCATGGTGAGTGAGACAGGAGCGCAGAGACTGGGGCCAGGCAGGGGCGGGGCCGGGAGGGCTTTCTCTCCTAGCAGGGGAGACTCCGTCCATCTTGCCCTCCCCGCTCAGTGCCAGGAGGAAAGGGCAGGGAGGGAGGCCTGAGCAGCCCGGAGTCCTGCCCCAGCCTCCCACAGCAGGTACAGCAGTAACTGCTCAGAGCCAGACCCCTCCGGTCGCCAGCTCTGGACCTCTGTGCCAGTAGCTGTTGGCTCCCCCCTCCCACCCCACCCCCCAGAACTCTAGTAAGTTTCCTTTTGTGTTGTTTTCAGCTTTTTCTTTAAGCCTACTAATGTAGAGAATGAACCGAATTGTGCAATGTTGCTGTTCTGGGGTCAGGGGGAGGTTAGCATCCCATCTGCCCACACCCTGGGGGCGGGGCAGGGACCAGGCTGGTTTGGAGGTAAGGGAAGCCCCTTGGAGGCCGGGGTTTCCGCTCTCGGGTAATGTTCACTCACCGTCCTCTGCGGCTCCAGAAGCTGCCTGAGTGCAGGGGGAGGGGAGGGTTACTCGGAGCAGCAAGGTGTGAAGCCTGGAGTTGAGCATTTTGCCCTTGAAAGCCACCTGGAAAAATTCCCCCATTTTTATTTTAAGAAATTAAATAATTTTCTTAGAGTAAGAAGGCACTTTTAAAATTAACACACACACAGACTGCACACCTTCCTCATAAAGTTTGGGGGATGAGGGGTGGAGGAGGAGTTGGAATCAGGCTCCGTATCCCCCCCATACCCCAGAGCCACTGCGGGTTACTATACTGGCCCTACGGGCCTCCCCTGGTTTTTTCTTTCCTTCCCCGAATTCATTGAGCACTTAATAAAGGAGCAAAGATACAGCCTGTGTCTGGGCTCCCCCAGTGGTGAAATGATCTGAAGCTAGATGCTAGTAACCTAGTGATGGGGCTGTTCAGAGTGGTTTTCAGGGGGATGTGGTCCCCCTGACGCTACGTGGTGGGAGAGGGAGGGGGGTGATGAAACTGGGTCTGGGATTATTTTAAATTTATATATATATATATATGAAGATATATTCTTACATCTTTTGTTTGCCCTCTTGTGCTTCGAAAGCACTGGATAAATTGTTTGGTTTTGCTTTTCTCTCTTCCACGAAATTGGAAGCTCCCCCCGCCCCCCCCCCGCCCACAAGTCATCTCGCCTTGTGGCCTGTCTAGCCTCTTCCGCCCCGCCCACCGTGACAAAGTGCCATTTCTGTTATGTCTCCCCTCCCCCAGCTCGGAGGTACCAGGTGCCCAAGTCCGTCACTTGAGACTCGAAGTGAGGAACAGAGAATGTGCAATACCGTCTGGTTGGGGCCACCCCTGCCCTGAGCTGAGCCTCCTCCCTGGGAGCCAGCACCTCTGAATGGGGTTTGGAAGTAGGACGTTTAGATGAGAGGGGAGCGATGGGGAAGGAACACCCAGCCGAGTGCCTGCCCAGGCCTGAGGCGGCAGGGGAGGACAGGGGAGCCTCCCCTGCTCCTGTCCCCTCAGGCTCAGTTGCATAGAGGCAGCTTGTCGAATAGTAGAGCTCTGTGACCCTTGCTCAGTCGCTGAGGTTTGATTTCTTAACCCTCCTCCCCATTTTCATACCCTTCCTTGGGCTTAGTGATGGGGGTGAGTTTCCCGTAATCATGGTGAAGTCGCAGCCTTCTGCCTCCCCCCTTGCTCTCCACCCCCACCCTTCCTTATTTCTCCAGTTCCTCGTCGCTGATCACCTTGTGTCCCTCCGAGTCTCTCGTTGCTCCCCATCGCCAGGCTGGGCCCGTAGACACTAACCCTCCTGCCTGAAGATAGGAGGAAAGACGCCGTGTTCAGAGTTATCCTCTCCCGGAGCTCTCGAAGCTCAGAGGACGACTAGAGCAAGGACCCCCTGGTTCTTCCCGACGTCCTCCGCGTCCAGAGGCTCTCCAGGTGGTCCTTTGTGGACAGTGGCTTACTCCCGAGATGCCCGAAACTGGTAGATGAGCAGGAAGGCTTGGGTAAAGGTGAGGGACAGAGGTCCTCATTTGTCAAATTTTTTTAATTTTTAATTTTCATTTTCTACTTTTGTCATTTGACCACAGCATCTGGACTTTCTCATCCCCGGAATAAGTATTTTTCCATATTTTTGGATGTATGTATGGTAGACAGTTTTTTGTTTTTTTTTTTTTTAAAGACACAAAGATAAATGTTTTCCTGCTTTGGTTACCTTTCCTTTCCCCTTTAAAAGGACTTAGCTATAGAGCCGCTTTGTAAAGATGCTTCTTGGTATTTTACTTTTGTCCCTTACCCCAAGCACTCCTTCCTCCTAACCTTCCTCTCCACACCCCACCCCACCCGGCCCTAGGCTCCCCTGCCCTCCAACGAGACCTTCATTAGCTTATGATACTTGCTGCGGAGATGTTATAACAAGGACTCATTCGTGTATATAAGCTATTTCTTGATCCATTTAAAAGGAATTGTACATTGTGTAGAAAAAAAAAAAAACCTGAAAAAGAGAAAAAAAAGCCCTCGCCATGGATATTGTGAAACTGTGTTACGTCATTTTGTAATGTGCCCGTTTGTGTATGATCCGTGCAAAAGGGTTTCTGGGGAAGGGGCGGGGGTCGGGAGGCAGGGCTGTGGAGGGTGGGGCGGGGAGTGGGCCGGGCCCAGCACACTGAGACTGGCAGCGGCTCCAGCCCCATCCCTCCTCAGAGATGCCACCTCCCCCACCTCCCAGCCCTGACTTGTGCCTTGCCTCCCGCCGGGTCACCAGCACTGCCTCGGCAGAGCCCACGCCCTCCCCCAGCCTGCCCACCCTCCACCCCAGCATTAGGCGGATACTGTGGGAAGTGCTGGGGGTCAGGAGGTAGCCGAGGAATGGGGCAGTTCCTGGGGCATCGAAACCAAGTATTATTATGAATTGTAACTGTATTTGCACTGTTTCTTTCCTCTGACTGCGGCAGCATATATACAATATACCTGTGTATCGAAATTCAGTGTCCGGCTTTCTTACGCGGGGGATTTCCCCCGCCCCGCCCCCCAAACAAGAACCTAGTTCCGTGGGTCTTTGCAGTAGGTCGTCAGGGATGATCGAGACAGAGGACGCGAACGAGACCTCCCAGGGACGCCTCACCTCCCGAGCCCCGCGCGTCCGCTCGCAGTGTCCGGCTTCGTCGGTTGGGGTGAGGGGCTACCGTGAAACTCGGCTTCCTGGTCTGGGCCGCAGAGTGGGGCGCCGCAGCCCACGGCGCGGGGTGGCAGCGCCGGCCGGAAGCTGGGGTCGCCCCAGGCTTTCCCACGGACTTGCTGTGTGGCCTTCGGTAGTTCATTTCCGGGTCTCAGTTTTCACTTGGAAGTGACAGGGGAGAGCGCCCGCCACCGGCTGTAAAACTGCCTTCTGCTTCCTGCCTCGCCTGCCCAACAGCAGCTCGCGGTGCGCAAGGGGCGGGGCTGCAGGGGCAGGTGTGCGGCGCCCCGGAGGGCCGCCCGGGCCCCCGCCGGTCCTGTGGTCTTGAGAAAGGGGGCAGAGTGACGTCTAGCCATCAGGGGCACCTGGGACAGCTTTGGCCTCAGGCCCGCGCCCGTGAGTGGCGGTGCCCAGGCTGCTGGTCTAGCCTCGCCTCGCCCTTTGTGAGCTGCGGGGCGGGGGGGGTGCGCAGAACTTGCCCGTCCTCTTGGTGACGGCGTAGCGGAGCCCGATGCACCCCAGTTCTTGGCTCCTTCAGAACTCGCGTGAGCCCTTGCAGGCGGCTCCCCACGGCCTGGGCTGAGGCTCCCACCCTGTAGGCTCCTGGCCTGGGAAGCCCGGAGAGGATCTGGGGAGGTGGCGTAGGCCTGGCAAAGGTGGGGGCAGAGCAGGGTTGGGGCGGGGAGCAGGGCTGGGGCGGGATGGGCCTCTCTGAATGGGGGTGGGGGGGCAAGACCCTTTTGCACAGGCTCTAAGTTTCCTTTTTTTTAACTCATTCTGATTTTCTGCATTGTGTTTGGAAATTAAAATGAAAAAACTAAGACCAACAGAAACTGGTTTTCAAAAAGGCAAATACACTCCCATCTGTTTCAGATGCTGCTGAGCATTTCAGCAGTAACAGATTCAAATAATAAGCTAATTTTTGGAGAAAGGATTAAAAGAAAAAATCTTTGTAATATTTATCACTTGCAAGCTATGTTTAATAAAGAAAGGAATGGTTTCTAAACTTTTCCTCTGGCTCGTGCTTTAGTCATGGCTGGCTCGGGGTAGCTCGGGGTAGCTCGGGGGTGCCCGCTTTCCTTCCACTGCAGTGGTCACAGGAAGCCCTTGCTCATCCACTGTCATGGACCCTGTGTTCCAGAAGCCAGTGGCCTGACGGCCGAGGGCCCGACGGTACCACGCAGGAGGCGGAGTCCCCAGCTGTCCTTGGCCCTGCCAGTCCTACTATATATGCGGCAGGTCTCTGGTCTCTCTGGGTTGCAG